TTCCCATTTTTATGATACAAATTTCTGTTTTATGATAATTCATTTTCGGCAAATTTGGTTATCTAACCAACTTTCCCGGAAAGTAGATATATTTCCCATTTTTATGATACAAATTTCCCGTTTCTATGATATCTATTTTCGGAAAGTTGGTTATCTAACAAACTTTTGCGGAGTAGATATTTCCCATTTTTATGATACAAATTTCCCGTTTTGATAAGCTATTTTCGGCAATGGTTATTCAACAAACTTTCCAGGAAAGTAGATATTTCCATTTTTATGATACAAATTTCCTGTTTTCATGATAACTATTTCGGATTGGTTATCTAAACTTTCAAGTAGATTTTCCATTTTATGATACAAATTTCCTGCTTTCATGATAATCTATTTTCGCAAATTTATAGTTATAGGAAACTTTTGCGAAAGTAGATATTTCCCATTTTTATGATACAAATTTCCTGTTTTCATGATATCTATTTTCGCAAATTTGTTATCTAACCAACTTTCCCGGAAAGTAGATATTTCCCATTTTTAGATACAAATTTCCGTTTTCTATGATAATCTATTTCGAAGTTGGTTATCTAAGAAACTTTTGCGGAAAGTAGATATTTCATTTTTTATGATACAAATTTCCCGTTTTTCTATGATATCTATTTTCGGCAAATTGGTTATCTAACCAACTTTCCTGAAAGTAGATATTTCATTTTTATGATACAAATTTCCTGTTTCTATGATAAATTATTTCTCGGAAAGTTGTTATCTAAGAAAACTTTTATGGAAAGTAGATATTTCATTTTTATGATACAAATTTCCTGTTTTCTATGATAATCATTTTCGGCAAATTTGTTATCTAACCAACTTTCCCGAAAAGTAGATATTTCATTTTTTATGATACAAATTTCCTGTTTTCTATGATAATCTATTTTCGGAAAGTTGGTTATCTAAGAAAACTTTGCGGAAAGTAGATATTTCCCATTTTTATGATACAAATTTCCTGTTTTCATGATAAATTATTTTGGCAAATTTGTTATCAACCAACTTTCCCGGAAAGTAGACATTTCTATTTTTTATGATACAAATTCTGTTTTCTATGATATTCATTTTCGAAAGTTGGTTATCCAAGAAACTTTCGGAAAGTAGATATTTCCCATTTTTTATGATACAAATTTCCCGTTTTCATGATAATTCTATTTTCGGCAAATTGTTATCTAACCAACTTTCCTGAAAAGCAGATATTTCCAATTCAGATACAAATTTCCCGTTTTCTATGATATCTATTTCGGTATTATCTAACCAACCTCATGAAAGTAGATATTTCCATTTTTATGATACAAATTTCTGTTTTATGATAATATCTTTTCGGCAAATTTGGTTATCTAACCAACTTTCCCGGAAAGTAGATATTTCCATTTTTACGATACAATGTTTCTATGATAATCTATTTTAAAGTTGGTTATCTAAGAAACTTTTGGAAAGTAGATATTTCCCATTTTATGATACAAATTTCTGTTTCTATGATAATCTATTTTGGCAAATTTGGTTATCTAACCAACTTTCCCGGAAAGTAGATATTTCCCATTTTTATGATAAATTTGTCTATGATAATCATTTTCGGAAAGTTGTTATCTAAGAAACTTTTGCGGAAAGTAGATATTTCCCATTTTTATGATACAAATTTCGTTTTCTATGATATCTATTTTCGGCAAATTTGGTTATCTAACCAACTTTCCCGGAAAGTAGATACTTCATTTTTATGATACAAATTTCCCGTTTTCTAAGATATCTATTTTCGGAAAGTTGGTTATCTAACAAACTTTTAAAGAGATATTTCATTTTTGATACAAATTCTGTTTTCTATAGATAATCTATTTCGGCAAATTTTATTCTCTTACCCGGAAAGTAGATATTTCCCATTTTATGATACAAATTTCCGTTTTCTATGATAACTATTTCGAAAGTTGGTTATCTAAGAAACTTTTTGCGAAAGTAGATATTTCCATTTTATGATACAAATTTCCTGCTTTCTATGATATTCTATCGGCAAATTTGGTTATCTAACCAACTCTTCCCGGAAAGTAGATATTTCCCATTTTTATGATACAAATTTTCCCGTTTTCTATGATATCTATTTCAGCAAATTTGGTTATCTAACCAACTTTCCTGAAAGTAGATATTTCCCATTTTTATGATACAAATTTCCCGTTTTCTATGATAATCTATTTTCGGAAAGTTATATCTAACAAACTTTGCGAAAGTAGATATTTCCCATTTTATGATACAAATTTCCTGTTTCTATGATATTCCATTTCGAAAGTTGGTTATCTAAGAAACTTTTCCGGAAGTAGATATTTCAGTTTTATGATACAAATTTCCCGTTTCTATGATAATCTACTTCGCAAAATTAGGTAATATTTCCCCCAAAATTCGAAAATCTATTCCCCCCGAAAAATCGATAATCTACTTTCCCGAAAAGTAGAAAATCTATCTACTTTTCTGGAAAGTAGATAACCAACTTTCCCGGAAAGTAGATATTTCCCATTTTTTATGATACAAATTTCCCGTTTCTATGATAATCTACTTCGCAAAATTACGTAATATTCCCAAATTCGAAAATCTACTTCGAAAGTCGATAATCTACTTTCTGAAAAGTAGAAAATCTATCTACTTTTCGGGAAAGTAGATAACCAACTTTCCCGGAAAGTAGATATTTCCCGTTTTTTATGATACAAATTTCCCGTTTTCTATGATAATCTACTTCCCAAAATTAGGTAATATTTCCCCCAAAATTCGAAAATCTACTTCCCGAAAAGTCGATAATCTACTTTCCCGAAAAGTAGAAAATTTGTCTACTTTTCAGGAAAGTAGATAACCAACTTTCCCGGAAAGTAGATATTTCCCGTTTTTTATGATACAAATTTCCCGTTTTCTATGATAATCTACTTCGCAAAATTAGGTAATATTTCCCCCAAAATTCGAAAATCTACTTCCCCGAAAAGTCGATAATCTACTTTCCCGAAAAGTAGAAAATCTATCTACTTTTCGGGAAAGTAGATAACCAACTTTCCCGGAAAGTAGATATTTCCCATTTTTTATGATACAAATTTCCCGTTTTCTATGATAATCTACTTCGCAAAATTACGTAATATTTCCCCCAAAATTCGAAAATCTACTTCCCCGAAAAGTCGATAATCTACTTTCCCGAAAAGTAGAAAATCTATCTACTTTTCGGGAAAGTAGATAACCAACTTTCCCGGAAAGTAGATATTTCCCATTTTTTATGATACAAATTTCCCGTTTTCTATGATAATCTACTTAGCAAAATTAGGTAATATTTCCCCCAAAATTCGAATATCTACTTCCCCGAAAAGTCAATAATCTACTTTCCCGAAAAGTAGAAAATCTATCTACTTTTCGGGAAAGTAGATAACCAACTTTCCCGGAAAATAGATATTTCCCATTTTTTATAATACAAATTTCCCGTTTTCTATGATAATCTACTTCGCAAAATTAGGTAATATTTCCCCCAAAATTCGAATATCTACTTCCCCGAAAAGTCAATAATCTACTTTCCCGAAAAGTAGAAAATCTATCTACTTTTTGGGAAAGTAGATAGCCAACTTTCCCAGAAAGTAGATATTTCCCATTTTCTGTGACAAATTTCCCATTTTCTATGATAATCTACTTCGGAAAATAAGGTAATATTTCCCCAAAAAGTCGAATATCTACCTCCCCGAAAAGTCGATAATCTACTTTCCCAAAAAGTAGATAATCTACTTTTCGGGAAAGTAGATGACCAACTTTCTCAGAAAGTAGATATTTCCCATTTTCTATGAAACAAATTTCCCGTTTTCTATGATAATCTACTTCGGAAATTTATGTAATATTTCCCCAAAAAATCGATAATCTACTTCCCCAAAATTCGAAAATCTACTTTCCTGAAAAGTAGATAATCTACTTTTCGGAAAAGTAGATAACCAACTTTCCCAGAAAGTAGATATTTCCCATTTTCTATGATACAAATTTCCCGTTTTCTATGATAAGTAGATAACCAACTTTCCCAGAAAGTAGATATTTCCCATTTTTTGTGATACAAATTTCCCATTTTCTATGATAATCTACTTCGGAAAATAAGGTAATATTTCCCCAAAAAGTCGATAATCTACTTTCACAAAAAGTAGATAATCTACTTTTTGGGAAAGTAGATAACCAACTTTCCCGGAAAGTAGATATTTCCCATTTTCTATGATACAAATTTCTCGTTTTCTATGATAAGCATATATTTCCCATTTTCTGTGATAAAAATTTCCCGTTTTCTATGATCATGTACTTCGGAAATTTGTCATATTCCCCCAAAAAATCGATAATCTTGTAGCGTACGGTATGTGGCCAGTTGTCAATTATCTCTTAGTATGGGCACACAAACGTACATACATGTAGATGTCTCCACTCAGGAATGAGGTAGGACAGAAACTCACATTGCCCTTTCTGTATATATATTGTTGTACAGCGCAGTGCTTAGGAGTGACTAGGTGAGGAGCTGTGAGAGATGTTTCTGGACCAGTAGCCGAGTGTAGAATGTCCTCCCTGGGCAGGCGTGGCCGTATTTATACAATTTACGAGGACCAAGCGTAAGGTGTGAAACGCTCTGATCCTGAACTGGAGGTTGATGGTCGAGACTAGGTCGGCGATCGTACCCCTACGTCCTCTGCATAGACCTAGTCTCTCGGCGTAGCTGTCTGTACGCTGATTGGCGCGCGGCCGGAGCTCAGTTGGAAGTTGTAGGGGAGAGGAGCCACTACAATCTACTTCCCCAAAAAGTCGAAAATCTACTTTCCTGAAAAGTAGATAATCTACTTTTCGGAAAAGTAGATAACCAACTTTCCCGGAAAGTAGATATTTCCCATTTTCTATGGTAAGTAGATAACCAACTTTCCCAGTAAGTAGATATTTCCCATTTTCGGTGGTACAAATTTCCCGTTTTCTATGATAATCTACTTCGGAAAATAAGGTAATATTTCCCCCAAAAGTCGATAATCTACTTTCCCGAAAAGTAGATAATCTACTTTTCGAGAAAGTAGTTATATACTGTACCTTGTTTTGTATTTCCCCTTAGTCTGTACTCACCCCTGAATATGTGTATTGCATGAAAGCGCTTGGGAACTTCGTGTTTTCTTCCTTCCTTGTGGTTATCAGCATATACCTGGATTACGCGCACTCTCTCTCTGTGTGTGTGTGTGTGTGTGTGTGATGATTTACAACTTTTATTTAAAATAAATAAATACACATGATATTTTACATGTATTAACACAGTGGTAACCTCAACTGTTGTTTCTTGGCTTTCCCGTTGGCTTGCTATTAGCTGAAGAGCCTGCAGTTGAGCGGACCTGTCACGGCACACTTTGGGTAGTAGTACCAGAAGGGAGGGGATGGGGTTAGGGAGGCAGGCGATGGGGATACCGTGGCGGGGAGGGACGGGGGTTTATAGCGAGTGAGAGCCGAGAGGCCAGCCAGTAGCACCCAGCCCGCAGCGGAGGAAGTGTTGCTCCGGACTTCATTTCCGTTTACTGTGAGTGTGAAAATATATTCTTTTGCTTTGATTTACATAGTATTTAAAGCTCACTGTGCATTTTAATTTATATACTTTGAAATAATTTTCACCCTTACACAATGTGAAATACCGTTGAAGTGCACCTTTTTCAACCCAAGCCTACGAGGATAAGTTGAAAGTTGTGAAAGAAGATAAACCTCGTCCGGCTCTTCCAAATTTACGTTCTACACAAAGACAAAAAAAGTGAATATACAAGATATATTTCCACTTCACAGTATGAAACAGTGTAATGGATGACTGGTTGTGAAATTCGATCAAAACTTTTCTGTTGGCCCTGTTTACTGTTCTCTAAGGAGAGTTGTGTGTGGAATAAACATGGGTTTTCTGATCTCAATCGTTTAACTACAGCAAGACAGAAACATGAAAGATCTCAATTACATGTTGTCTTTTTTTCATCTTAAAATGTTTGGGAAACAAAGAATCGACACATTAATTGACTACCAAGGGAAAACTGAAGTAAGCCGACACAATGAACAAGTAAAAAAGAATAGAAAGATTTTGAAAAGGATTATTGATGCAATATGCTATCTAGCAAAACAAGAGTTTCCTCTACGAGGTCATGATGAGTCTAGTAATTCAGTAAACAGAGGTAGTAAATATATAAAATTACTGAATGTACTTCAAGATTACGATTCTCTCTTAGATAATCATTTAAACTCATCAACCATGTTTCACGGTACTTCTCCATCTGTGCAAAATGACATCATCCAAGCTATATCTAATGTTGTTAAAGATCATATAAAAAGAGAGATAAGTTCAGCAACATTTGTTGCTATCATCCTTGATGAAACTTCAGATGTGACGTCAAAATCACAGCTCTCAACAGTTTTGCGTTTTGTTCATAAAGGCAAAATACAAGAAAGATTCGCTGGATTTACAGATGTAAGTGCTGATAGATCTTCTGATGGTCTGTTCAGTCACGTTGTTAACGCAGTTCATAAATTTCAAATTCAAGACAAATTGATTGGACAGACTTACAACATAGCAAGTGTAATGAGTGGACATATAAATGGTTTGCAGAGCAAAGTTCTTTATGCCTATCCTCTGGCCCTTTTTACACACTGCTATGCTTATGTGTTGAATTTAGTCTTTCAGCAAGGTCTTTCCAACATAAAGGTGTAGAATTTTTTTTTAAACTTTAAATGGAATAGCAGCATATTTTTCTAAATCTTCTAAAAGAGTACATGCTCTGCATGAGTTTGTTGTTAGAAAGCTACCCTCTATAGCACCTACTAGATGGAATTTTACATCTCGTTTAAGTAACACGGTACAGAAATACAGAAGTCGATTCACTGAATTTTTCCTACTTGTTATTGAAAATTCTGAAGGCTAAGACATTATAGTGCAGTTTACATCGCATAAAAGAAGAATAGAACTAATGAATAAATAAAATGGGTAAGTAAAGTATTGTATATTTTTTTTTAAATTGCACTGCTAATATTTGCACACTTCTGTCATAATTTTCTACCATTTTTCATTTCTCTGTGCTGTTTATATGCGTAGTATACAACACTACTTTTCATAAGTATGCCATTTATTTTATACAACTTAAAGTTTAGTCTTTACCTTATAATGCTCAGCACACCCTGTTTCAATATCCACCATATGCCACTAAGATATAAATCAACTTACTGTACATGTATTTTCTAGGTTCCTGACAATTCAAATTTGTGTTTGAGTCTATGGAGCAAGGCGTTCATATAACCATCCATCATCACCTTGCTTAGTCAGGCTTTCATCAATTACTTCATCTGTTGCAGGTTTTCTGAAGCAGATCCTGTCGTGAATGCGTGTTGTCTGTCCTTGCCAGAATTCTATGGTTTCTGGGACAACACGGAAGCCCCCCCTGGAATGGACACAGCAATATGCAGATTATATTCAAAATACAGTTTGCTGCATTTTAAGTAAAGACCAATTAATAATAAATTAGTTATTATGTATCTTCTCATTATTCACAACCACCTACCCACATGTTTGTAAGCATAAAAATTCCTCCAAATACTACTGTTACCTTTCCCATAAATACTCTCACAATTTTCCAAAAATTCTCAAGGTGGTGATAACTCCTCCAATACCAAGTACTGTATCTGTACATATTGTTTTGGTAATACTGTAATGGTATTACTGTGCTTCAACAAAGAAGGACTTTAAGTGCATAACAAGGTTAATAATACACTAGTCAAACAACAATTAAAAATTATCAGAGATAGAACTCTTATATTTACTTGTACATTATTTGCTGAAAAACTCTAATACTGTACATGTATGTATTCTACTATACACTGTATCCTCATTAATTCGACAAAAAAGGGGCTTTCTGGGTCGCTCGAATTACCAAAAATCGGAATTAACCGACATTCAGTTTTTGCACATGGCCATGCCTTGGTTGACACAAAATAACCTATTTATACTTACTGTGCAAACATAAATATTTTTTTAAATGTACATACAGAAATAATAAAGTAAATAATTAAGTAATAAATAAATGTAACACTGCGAGGTGAGCTGACGATGCGAGGGGTGAGGTGACGAGGCAGGAGGTAAGGTGACACGACAAGGCACTTACACAGCAAACACATTAACAGCACTACTAAACCATTGTCTTATAACATTTTAATTTCTAATTTCTATTTTAAAATTAAATGATACATAATGGATCGATTTGGTTACTTTTGCACTTAGACAACTGATCAGTGAATAAATCAGAGCATATGGGAAAGCATTATACACTACAATAATATTTATTAAGTTCTGATAAATACGCTACAATATTATTTACTGTTCAAGACGGATCCAGTGGTAAGCACCAACCCTCTTGAGCAGTGAAAACAATGGTGCTTGAGAGATGGTGAGTGCCTTATGCATTAGTTTATATAATTAAGCACTTTCAGAATAACCCCCAAACGCCAAATTCGCATCTTGGAAACCCATGGCTCCCAGCCTCATAGTTACTTCACTATTAAGCAGTATGAAAGGCGGACTTGCATGAGTAATATTTAATTCCCATCTTCAAGCTGGGAATAAGAAACCCTGAAAATCTCTGAAGGGTCCTATTCAGATTTTTTGAGCATTATAACCACCACACATTTTAAGACAACACTACACAGAGGGTGACCACATACTCACCAACACTCAGGCTTGGGAATCAATTTGGTCTCATCTTTATACTCCTCATTCAGCTGTTCATCTTTTTCAGTGAGGACATGGCGGCCACAGATTACCTGAAAGAACACAACAAATAAAATTCTGCTCTATCACTCCATATACAGTACAGGTATCTCTGTATTATTTCTTCCCTAACATATCAGTCATCTTGAACTCTTTCAGTATACTATATTTCTCCACCATGAGTGATCCACACTCCTGAGTATTTTCCAGATATTTAAAAAAATTGCCTGGAAAAATAAATACAGCTCCTCCCCGACTTACGACAGGGTTAGGGACCCAAATCCAGGTCCAAAGTCGAAATGGTCGTAAATCGAAAATGATTATATAATACATAGAAAATCTAAAATGGGTGTCTCTTTTTCTTCTCAGCACCACAAAACTCTCACTTTTAAGCTTGCCAGCCATTTTAAAGTGAATTACAAACGAAAATTTTCTCTGTGTACTGACGTTGGGACTCGAAAATACCTATACTGAAATCTTGAACAAAATCCATTTTTTGGCCGAAATGACAAAAATTGTAAGTCTAAAGCCTTAAAGGATTTTTGGCCAAAAATACTTTTTCTCTCTGAACTAAAATTTAATGTGCCTAACTATTTAAGTACATCCAGAATAATACACAAGCACCAAGAAATGACCTCGAAAACCCATAAGTAGCGAGTAATTAGCATTGCAAAAGTAATTAAAATATTCTAAAAATCATTTGAACATTTTCTAAAAGCCATTTGAACAAGTTATAATCAAGATATCAAATTTTGGTTAACAGATCCTTAAGCAGCACATTCAGGAGTACCTATACTGAAATTTTGAACAAAATCCATTTTTTGGCCGAAATGACAAAAATTGTAAGTCTAAAGCCTTAAAGGATTTTTGGCCAAAAATACTTTTTCTCTCTGAAATAAAATTTAATGTGCCTAACTATTTAAGTACATCCAGAATAATACACAAGCACCAAGAAATGACCTCGAAAACCCATAAGTGGCGAGTAATTAGCATTGCAAAAGTAATTAAAATATTCTAAAAATCATTTGAACATTTTCTAAAAGCCATTTGAACAAGTTATAATCAAGATATCAAATTTTGGTTAACAGATCCTTAAGCAGCACATTCAGGAGTACCTATACTGAAATTTTGAACAAAATCCATTTTTTGGCCGAAATGACGAAAATTGTAAGTCTAAAGCCTTAAAGGATTTTTGGCCAAAAATACGTTTTTCTCTGAACTAAAATTTAATGTGCCTAACTATTTAAGTACATCCAGAATAATACACAAGCACCAAGAAATGACCTCGAAAACCCATAAGTGGCGAGTAATTAGCATTGCAAAAGTAATTAAAATATTCTAAAAATCATTTGAACATTTTCTAAAAGCCATTTGAACAAGTTATAATCAAGATATCAAATTTTGGTTAACAGATCCTTAAGCAGCACATTCAGGAGTACCTATCAGGGCTGTGGAGTCGGAGTCGGAGTCGAGGAGTCGGAGGAAATTTCGGCTTGTGGAGTCGGAGTCGGTAAAATTGTCCAGACTCCGACTCCGACTGAAGCTATTCTGTTCCTAAGAACAAATATATGAACTCAGGCATATTCATTGCAGTGATTCCACTGATCCCACTAATTTTCTTAAATTATTAAAAGAATTTATTTCCATTTTATAAGCATTATTATGAATTTATTGTAGCAGGCACAGTATAGCACTATAATTTTGGACGATAGTCTCTTCTTTACCATTTGAAATTTTGAATTATATCAAATTTTGTTTCGTTGAAAACTGCACAGAGGCTCTCAGCTACACAACAATTAGCTACAACCTGTTTTTGGTGAGATTAAGGCAAATTTAATTTAATAACTTAATCATGTAAGGTTTATCCATTTTCCTTAATAAGGTATTCATTTCTTTAATGTACATAAATATATAACTTTACTTTAAAAGGAATTGTAGGATCATCATTTAGATCCACATCAGATTATGAGCTTAAACAAAATTCATATGCTGAGATCGAACTTTTAGATATACATGTAAATGGTGTTTTCTAGTTAATATCTTGAATTCTTAATAAATTTATTTTTCTTTTGATTGAAACTTTGAAAGTCAAGCCTATCATCTTTTTGTAGTTCTTAAATATCGTCCAGATCATTAATAAAGCTGTAGCAGTATAGCCACGGTGTTTTACTTTTTACCTATGCAGGTTACAACATACAAATTACAATTAGGATGGTAGAAATAGTTGTTACAAATAGGCCAAGGAGTCGGAGTCGGAGTCGGAGTCGGAAGCATAAAAATTTGAGGAGTCGGAGTCGGAGTCGAAGGTTTTGTCTTCGACTCCACAGCCCTGTAATCAACCAGTGTATTCACTCACAGTCAATCTTACCCTTTGCACTGTCACTATGTTTAAATGCCCTGTAGTATGACCTTCTCCCCACCTAGTTATTATATATCATATTTGTATCACTTATGTTATTTGTATATTATTTGTAAATCAAGTGACCCATTCCCCAATTATGTAACTGTATATTTTCAGCCTTTAGGCTGCCATGCTCCTTCAATAAACTGTTACTTATTATTACACACAGAAATGAAAAAAAAAAACGGAAAAAAAAAATCACTCTTTATTTGATCAACAGGAGACAAGTAAAAACTTACCTGACTTTGTGGACTAAGACAGGCTCCAATCTGGCTACTACGTGGGCGAGAGTGGAAATACTCCTTAGATACATCCTCACCAAGCTTTTCTACACGTCCCTCTACACGAACCTGGTTAATTAAAAATATTAATAAATCGTAGTATTTGCAATACAGTAATACTGTAGTAATACAGAGGAATCATGATACTTCGCAAAATGCAAATTCGCAGGTATCTCTATTACTTCCTCTTTTTTTAAATTTCACGATCAAATATTCACAATTCGCAACCAATTGCCTGATGCCTCAGTAATTATTTACATAAGAAACCATAAAAGTTGTGGAAATATAATTTCAATGCTTTAATTGGACTTAGAAATAAAGGAAATATAATATAAAGATCACTTCAATGTTTAATATGATTTAGAAAAAGAAAATATAATATAAAACTACAAAATAATGTAAGATAAATGATAAGCGGGGAGGAAATTGCGTGTGGGAGGTATGGCAGTTGGGTGGTGGACTGAGCATCCCCCCCCCCCAAATCCAGAGCGCTCGGCGCCCCTCACTTCCAACCTCCTTACTACAATACTATGCAATTTCACCATAATTTCAATATAATTTAGTTTCATTTGGTACCGGGTTAATAAAACATTATCATAAAGTACAGAAAAAAAGTACTGTACCAAATTAATTAAGCAACAACTGATCAAAACAACAGCCAGGATATTACAGTAGCACAGTTTGGTTTATTCAAGCTCATAATAACTTAGTTCAAGTAAAATTATCATACTTATGATATATTTTCAGTAAATTCAGATCTTTTTAAATTAGAGTGTTATTAGATGTAGGTAAGGTTCTAGATTCTATAAGCTTTCAGAGCCGTAGAGAAGATCTTTTTTAAGGTTTCCGAGTCCTGACGTACATATACCGGTAGGCAGATGCGTTGTCCCATCTCAGGCCAGTGTCGACGAAAACAGAATGGTCCCTAAAGATATCAAAGTTCAAGAGTCTAATGAGGAGGTTTGGGACTCCACAAACAGATCTCTTTGCCTCACAAAACAATCACAAGATGCCAATTTATGCTTCTTTGGAACGATCGAATCTTTCAGGAAATGCTCTACTCATAGACTGGAACTGTTGGAATTCAATCTATCTGTTCCCACCTGTGAAAGTGTTGCCCAAAGTGGTTCACAAACTCAGATCTTTCCAGGGAAAAGTCCTCTTAATTGCACTATATTGGATCCTACAACCGTGGTGGTCTGGATCTGTTGGAATGGTGGCCGCATCCACTACAATTGCAACAAGGATGTTTAGACCAGGTACTGCGCCCTCAGTACGAGACATCCTTGGCACTTCAAGCTTGGAGTTTCTCAAAAGATGTCTAAATAGATTGTTGGGTAATTCCAATATAGTTAACAAAGTGATATAAGGTCATAGGCCCCAAACTTCTATGCAATATGAGAAAGCTTGGAGCCTTTTTCAACAATTTATTAAGTTAACGACTCCAATCACATTGCTGGAAACAGTGGCGTTAGAATTTTTAGATTTTCTGTTCAGAGTTAAAAGGTTCTACAATTGCATCTTATAAATCAGCATTGGTTGACCCTCCGGTGTGGGGTTTTAACATTACTTTGAACTCCAGAATTTATCAAAGGCTCAGATCACCCTTTTTCATTCAGATAACCCCTTGGCCTAAAAGAATCCCACCTTGGTCTAGATAAAGTTACTAAATTTCTTTTGGGGCTTAATTACAATATAAATCTGAACCGGGACAGATGCTCCAGAAGGTAGCCTTCCTTCTAGCAACAGCAACAGGTATGAGAATCAGTGAGCTGGTTTCAATTTCCAATAATCCATCATTATTGGTATTTTCTGAGGAAAATGCCACGCTTTTTCCTACGGAGATTCTAAGAAAAAATGAAAGGGAGGATTTTCAAGCTCAACCTATCCGGATAAAATGGCTAATGGATGAGACAAGGGTTCCTCATATATTGTGCCCAGTTAAGAATCTTTAAGAATGGTTAACCAGATTCACTAATCGAAGCCCCTATGTATTCTCATCACAGGATGGTAAGAAATTGTCTCCTAGTCAAATGACAAAATATTTATCACAGTAAGTGAGTCAAGCAGACCCTGGCAAGAAATATTTGACACATATATATATAGCCTTATATTTCATTTAATCATTTAATTTACATTTAATATTTGTTTAATTTAAGTTTTTAGCAGCCATGGTGCTTTAAAGATACCGGGAGGTGTATAGCTAGTGAGTCAGAGGTGTATTGCTTAATAATTATATATGACCTCTATTAACCTGGCAAGGCTCAGGAACCAAAGGTGCCGGAAAATCGGTGGTGGACCTGTAAAATAGGAAGTGCATGGAGACTGACAACACAAGTCCAAACATAACAAGACATACTTAGTGATTGATGTTGCCCTGCCCCATGAGTGAGTCCAAGAATGCTAGCAGAAGACCCAACTAACACCAAGCATAAGATGAAGGTCCATGAATATTAATTAACTATATCATGGCTGCTATCTGGACACATTACCATGATAGAGCTGAGGCTTAACATTCCTCATCTTTTTTTTTCATTTAATTCTTCCAAGCCTTTTCCCACTATACTGAAGGATAGCCAGAATCAAAACCAAACATTCTTACTTTCTGCTCTCTCTTTGTGTTCCAGGGTAAGAAGGAGAGCTGAAGGAAGCCCCCAAGCAGATAACAAGCTCTGTTGCCCACATCTCATCCTATCATAGTAAAATAAATTTATAAAATACGTACTGCAAAGTGTCTGGTGATGACTACATATTCATCTGGATGTTTAGGACTTTTGTACTTTAATAAAATATCTTTAAATAAATTTTACCACAGCTATACACAACCAAATCTATGGTAAATTTTATGAGCCCAGCAGACCTTTTCAATGGTTAAAACTGACAAACAATGAAAGGACAGATAAAGTGTCATGACTACTGCTTGGCCATGAGAGCTATAAACTTAATTTTCTAAATTTCCTGTACTATAATAGACAGCCTCAAATTATTAACTCCTGTCTCACTACCATACATGATGTCAACAGTGCAACGCTTTCACTTTTATTGCATAATCAAGCTTCATGCAAAATTTTACTGTCCTAAATAAAATAATGCATGTGGTGATAGGTTTTCTATGTGCTGCAATACTGACTTTCAACACGTGTAGCATCAACCTGTGCAGCATATGAAATACTGTACATGTGTTAACAACATTCCTTCCTTGAAACTAATTGGATATATCAGTCATTCAGGTATACTAATCAATAGATATACTATACTTGAAATTCAAAGTAACTTACTGATCTCATGAGAGGCTCCCAGTAAAAACATAGGCTAGCCTGAGGGTTTTCAGCCTGAAAAAAGAGGTGGTGTTATACTTGTACCAATACATAGGGTGATTGAAAACACCTGAGGTGCCAGGAAAGAGATTTATCACGAGTCATCATGATGAAGCTCAGTCACCAACTGCACAACTACAAACCAAGAGGATTTGTGAAAATAAAGTCACAAGCATATCATCTTGACCGTGAGGGCACAATAAACAACTTCAAATCTTATTTACGACACATGTAAATCTCGTTCAAGTTTTACCTCAATGATAAATAATTTACCTGATACCACAAATTACTTCTATATTATCATACAAATCAACTATGAGCACTAACTTTAATACATTCATGTAAATGAATCTGAAATGCAATACCTGTATTTGTTATGGTTGGTGACAATAATAACTTAATTCCTGACTCCTCTAACAGATGTCTGGTAGGTGCTCATAGTCAGTTTGTATGTAGTACCTGTAAAAAATATTTACCTGTCTTGCCCATGTATTGTCTTCACCATTGTATGACCAATAGAAAACTAAACTTGCATATGGATTCTCTGTCTGAAATCAAAATAGAATTACAGGTACAGTGGGGTATGCTATAACGAACGGATCCTACTACGAATATTCCTATAACAAACGGTTTTACCTATAAAATTGAGAATGCTATAACGAACGAAACTCCTACAACGAACATTATTTAAATTGTTTTTTCCCTAATTTATTGATTTTTATTACAAGTATTAATGATATTCTTTATTTCAGGGGTTTAGATGCATATGTATGCACTTTTTTACAATTTTTACAATTTTATATTATATTTTTCAGTGTTAAGTGGTTGTATTTGGGGGCCTGGAACGAATGAATCCTATAACGAACGAATGCTATAACGAACGAATGCTATAACGAACAAGGTTCTAGAACCAATTAGATTCGTTATAGCATACCCCACTGTACTTGTATAACAATTCCCAAGTTACTCAACGTAAGGGTGAGAAAATAATAAGTTTATAACCCATATAAAAAATATAAATATTAATTTTCTGTACAGCATTTGATATTAACAAAAGCCATACATAAATACATTTACAATGAAAGACAAAAGTCGTGTCGTGAAATTTGGTGAAAACATATGCCGAAGGGCTAAACTTTTGGTGCGCTCTGCCTTGTGGTAGGGGACGCTCATAATGTCTCACGAGTTATATTTAATCTTCGGAGTAAACCGCGACACGACCTTTGTCTTTGATTGTACACCCATCAATAAAAAAGTATAAACCCAAAGGTTTGATGAAAATCGGAATGAGCAGGTATACATGTAGTACGTTGGGTTAGTACCACCAACTATATAGGTCTCATATCCTTTATCATTCAATGGTCTGTGATTTAAACTACCAAAATAATATTAAATTTAATACAGTACAGTATATGCATTAAAAATCAAAGGTCAAGTCCTCTGTAGTATAGTACTTTAATGTCGGATGATTAGGGATGTATTTGTGGCATACAGTAGGAAAGGATTGTTTGAGACATGAACAACAGTTGCCATTTCCCAAATAATACACACAGTACTGTATTTATGGGAGAAAACCAGCATGTAATAAAAAGGCTCACTGAAAAATTATACTGTATACTATATGTAATATCCCTGAAGGCAGAAATCTTTGATCCCTGGAATTTTTCAATACAATACACGGAAAAAAAGAAAAAAAAGAAAAGAAACTCCAAAAACATCTCTCCATTCTGGGCATTCAAATGAATTTCCAAGCGACTGCATCATGCAATAGTTTTGATTTTGAAACATGCACCAATGTCCTCAAAAATAAGTAATGTGCAATTTTTCTCAAGGATAAGCATTCGTCTGAATAACCAGAAATCTCTCTAACATGGAAATGTTCTGCACCAATTATTCTGGCCATCCAGGATACAGGTATAACTGTAAAGAGATTATGTGGTATTTCTCTTCTACCCTTAGGTTGCATTAATTTAATTCAAAGCCTTTTCCTTAGAGATATCCATGCATATTCCCATTTAGTTAGCACGAAGTATGCAGCATGATCTCAATTCATGGGAGTCAATATGGATTTTACTTTTATTACACAGTCAAAGCCAAAGTGGTACTGTATATACTGCAAGTGTTGTGGCCAATTCCTTTTCCTACAATTCTCCAAACAAAATAGAAGGCAGACGCAGAAACAAAACATTTGAGGAAAGCCAGTCAATGAACCGTACAGTTTTGTTTCTAACACAAGGAAGTGTCTGGCAAGGAGAGCAGGCACATCAAAACAACATCATACCCAGGGTATATATCAAAACACTTCACCCTGTATTCAGCAAGGGTAGTGATACTTTTTTAGGTGTGTGTACGTACAGTAAATCCTTGTTAATTTGCAATTTCTTACAATGCAATTCACATCTAATAACTGAATGAATAGAAGTGTTATTTTTTCATAACAATAGTCTCTCCACATCATCAGGTTTCCAAGCCTATAATTCATTTACTGTATATGTTCACTACCACACAGTAAAGTACAGGGGTCCCGGCCTTATGAACGTCCAACTTACAAACACCCGCCAATGCAAACGGGGTTAAATTTGAAATTTACAGTATTTTATTAACCTGATAACTTATTTTTTACTTTAATTTTCTGTATTTCTTCTTTTGTCTTAAATTAAATGATTGCAAATGTACATAAGGACTTAGGCTATGATATACCCCTGTAGTGAGATTTTAAACATTGTTCTTTAAGTACGGTATGCACATAGCACATGTTCCAACTTAGGAACGACCACAGGAACGGAACTCGTTAGTAACCCGGGGACCCCCTGGATACCGGTAATAAACACAGTAACGTTATACCGTCAATGTTGAGATAAAACACTCCTTTACACTGTGAGTTACCAGTATACTGTAGCATGCTTTTATTTTTTATACGAATTAGCACACCACTTTCTTTTTTTTTGCCAGAGAAGCTGAAGCAATATACTGTACTAATTACAGTGGGGTATGCTATAACGAACGGATCCTACTACGAATATTTCTATAACAAACGGTTTTGCCAATAAAATTGAGAATGCTATAACGAACGCAACACCTACAACGAAAGCGGATGAATAAGGGACTATTTCGTCTGGCGCATGAATATTGTTGTGCCGCGACCCACAACAAGAGCGTCAAGCACTATCTTTGTCTCATTGTGTAGCCAGTGCACCACTGTTATTGTTGAAATTTCGTCTTTTGATGTGAAAATACGAGTTATTTGTATAACTATTTTGTTATACACGTGTACAATTGTAACAATTAATCGTCCAAAGCGAGTGAGAAAGCTCATAACCCTTGAAACTAAGAAAGAAATCATAAAGAAATGTGAGAATGGAACAAGCATTACGAAACTTAGTGATGAATATGGGACGGCTAAATCGACTATATGTACGATTTTGAAGAATAAAGAGGAGTTGAAAACGGTGCAAGTGGCTAAAGGAATCTCTAGACTTAGCAAAGCAAGGTGTAATGTGATTGAGGAGATGGAAAATTTACTCTTAGTGTGGATAAAGGAGAAGAAATGGCAGGTGATAGCATTAGTGAAGCTATAATTTGTGAGAAGGCCAGACAATTGTTTGAGGACCTTAAAGCCAAGACTCCCAGTGGAAGTGATAGTGATGTGCCAGTGTTTAGGGGTACCAAGGGGTGGTTTACTGGTTTCAGAAGAAGAAATAAATTACACAGTGTTGTGAGACATGGTGATGCTGCTAGTGCAGATAAGGAAGCAGCTGAGGAACACCATGACATTTTTTTGAATGTTATTAAAGAGGGAGGCTTTGTTTCTCAGCAGGTATTCAACTGTGACGAAACTGGACTTTTTTGGAAAAAATGCCTCGCCGTACATACATTACAAAGGAGGAAACTTCTGTCCCTGGCCAATGAAAGACAGGCTTACCCTCCTTCTTTGTGCTAATGCTTCTGGTGACTGAAAGATAAAACCACTCCTTGTGTACCATGTGTACCATGCAGAAAACCCCAGAGCCTTGGTGTTATGTGGCGGTCAAACCCAAAGGCTTGGGTGACCAGGAGTCTTTTCTCTGAGTGGGTGATTGAGGTGTTTGGACCCAGTGTTCGGGAATACCTCAGGGAGAATAATCTTCCACTGAAAGCTCTATTGGTGATGGACAATGCACCAGCCCACCCTCCTAATTTGATGGTTGAATTGCCAGAGGAGTTCAACTTCATCACTGTGCACTTCTTGTCACCCAACACAACACCTCTCAACCAGCACATGGATCAACAGGTAATTGCTAACTTTAAGAAGCTGTACAAAAAGGCACTGTTTAGAAAATGTTTTGCGTCCACTTCTTCCAGTGATGTTAGTTTGAAGGAATTTTGGAAGTCACTTCAATATAGCAGACGCTGTGTTTTTAATTGCGTCAGCCTGGAAAGAGGTTACTATGAGGTGTCTTTGTGCTGCTTGGAGGCCATTGTGGCCTGAATGTGTGCTTCAAAGAGACTTTGAAGGCTTCGAAGAGTTAGAGGAAGAGGCTGTTGTACATGAAATTGTGTCTCTGGGCAATTCCATGGGCCTGGAAGTGGATGATGATGATGTTGAGGAGTTGGTGGAAGAGCACAGTAAGGAGCTGCTTGAGCTTCACAAAGAGGAAAACGAGACACTGAAGCGGAGCTTAACTTCTGAGGAGTCAGGGAAGGATGAGGACAAGGAGGAAAGCCGCATCATTCCAGCCAAAGATCTCAAGGATGTGTTCTTTTGCTGGAGCAAACTGTCTAAGCTTGCGGAGGATTATCATCCTGATGTTGGTGCTGTGGAAAAGGGCATCAGTGTGATTAATGACAATGTGATGAACTACTTTTGGAAGGTCCAGAAATCAAGGTTGAAGCAGCCAACCCTGGATTCCTTCTTTAAAAAAGTAGCAAAAGACCCTACAGACAAAGTGCCTGTAAGACAGTCACCAAAGAGGGCTAGGAAGGATGACTCCTCTCCTTCCACCTCTTCTCCATAATTCTCTCCTTCCCCCTCCTCCTCTGCCTCCTGTCCTGCATGCTGAACAACACTAAGGTAAGATAAAGTACCGTATTTTTTACATTTTCCACAGAAAATTTTCAGTGTTAAGTGGTTGTATTTGGGGGCCTGGGACGGATTAATCCTATAACGAATGAATGCTATAACGAACGAGGTTCTAGAACCAATTAGATACGTTATAGCATACCCTAAAGGCCTAGTGAAGCATTGCTCACACAATAAGATGAATAAGCAAGTGAAAAAGAGGGTACAGTATTTAATCTGGACAGGATGTAATATTAAAGTGATGGAAAACTTGTGGCTGCTGGGTGAAATTACAATTACAGTGCTCCCCCCAAATATGCGGATTTTAACAGTGCGGAACCCAACTACAAGCATTAATACCATGCAACCCAAATTCCAGAGTACCTGGGAGCAAATTTTCGTGCGGCACAGCCGAGTAAGGGAGAGAGAGAGGAAGTGAGCAGAAAAGCTGGCTGCTGATTGGCTACTACCAACCAATAATAGACGAGGACGTCACTTCCTGGCCATGACGTCACCAACAACACGGACGCCAGTCTGTCCTCCTCTCCTCAAGACACTACAGTGGCTTGCTTTTTCCTGTATTTTTTAGGTGTGTTTGGCTGTTACAGCTACCATGGCTACCCCACCTGCTGCTGTGGAACTCCAGCACCTGCCCCGCCAGGCAGAAGAGTGAAGTCGATGACCCTGACATGCAAGAAGGAGGTAATAGACTGGCTGGACAATGGCAAGAATGTGTTTATTCTTCTCATTTAAGGGCTTATTTCTGTTTTATTATTCACCTTATATAACTAAGGTACACATATTTAACAAACTGTAACTTTTATAGAGGTTATGGGCAGAAAAAGTGATTTGAAAGGCCAGTTTGGGGTTCATGGTGTGTATCTGGAGGGGTCCCGGAACCAATTGCTTATTTCCCATTAGTTTATAGTACCCAAGTACGCGCCGCTCCATTGGCACTAATTACCCGTGTACTTGGAGGGAGCACTGTACTGTATTGCCTATGCTGTTGATTCTATTACCTCTCCTGATGAACTACAGCATCACATCCTCTGGTAACTGTACAGTATATGCTTAGTGATAAGTAAAATTCTAAAAATTTTCATGAATTCATCTGTGGCATGAATTACACTTAGATATTTGTCAAGAACTTGGTGATTTTCTGGCAATTCTGATGGAAGTCAGGTAATATCAACCAAATTGGTTTGGCAACAACGGAGCCTCCAACTTGGAATAAGTCGGTGTAGAACACAGGGTAATGGTAGAGTTTAGTACTTGACTGTCCCTTGTTCACTTGTGGTGCAGTGTTAATAAAGCAGTAAACATGTGAACAGTTATGAACAATGCAATGAATAACCCTGTAATTCCATATAAACATACAAAATGTACTCAGAATTACATAATATAAATTTTCAAGAGGGTCAGGGTAGAAACCGAAAGAATGGGAATGAAATACTGTATTCCTGTTCAGTTGGTGGCAGAATGAGTGACTTAAATATTCCACGTGATGTACAGTAGAGAAATACAGTGATATCGCCATTAGCTGGAACAGTTGGTGCAGAGCACTTCCGGGAATGAGAAAGTTCCGGGTAACTAGACAACTCTCTCAAACCCGGAAAAAAAACTCACCCCATCCCCGGAATTTTCAGGGTGTAGGGAAAAATTTATCGTAATTTTCCGGAAAATTGTTCCCGAAGCCGGAATTATCCAGAAAATTCCGGCATTGGGAACAATTTTCTGCGAAAATTTCAATTCCAGCTATCAGAGAGTTTTGGGTTTGAGGATTTCCGGCTAACGGAGATATTACTACCCCAGTAAGCACTTGGGATATGTTCCTGGAAAATGGAGTGCTACCCAAAATAGCACTATGGGGTCATTATACCATTGCATATATGGAAATGCGTTCCTGATGACGTTATTTTTTACCACTGAGATATATACAGTATTGTACCTGTATGTGAAGGGTACAGGTATTAACCCTAGATAGGTAATAGCAACATTTTTCTATACCTAAGGCACATACAAACATTTAAAGGTCTCAGCTAGGCTTCTGAGTGAAAATTAAAAAAATTAACAAATAGCTGAGTATATATGAAAATATAGATTGGTTTTTTTTACCCTTTTACACTTAAGTTCATACAAGTTCATGGTGGGGATTTTGGGGCACCACATTTCCAGATTATTACAGTAATGTATCTTTACTAATTAATGAATAAAAAATAAAAAATGTGCACTACTGTACAATATTGTATTATGAATGAGTCACAGTAGAATGAGTGAGAGATGCAGTGGGTGGGAGGGAAGGAGGGAAGCAGTGGACATTGTACGGATCTGTTCTGGCTGAAGCTAATCCATCTCTACTGATGTTTCAGTTAACCACACAATTTTTTGTCATAAAATAAAACCTACACTTAATATAAAATTATACTGTAAAGCATATTTAATAATCAACTTTAGTTGTGGGTACTCACTTAAATTAATACAGTACAGTATAAACAAAAGTGACTCTCAGTGTGTTGTGAGTGTTCGGACTCGTGGCTTTTGATTGCTTTTATGGACTTTTTATTTTATTTTTTCCAAGTAAAACTTGAGCTTCAAGATGCAAGCAAGAGCATGACAATGAAATAGAGCTCTATGGGGTACCACTAACCAGGGTATTACTGCACTGTACTTAAATATTACTTAGTCAAAAACTTCAGTGAAAGAAAAGACAAAAAAGGCAGGAGCTTCGTCACAGATGAAATAACATATTTTTGTGGTCAATTCTCATTAAAGATACACTGTGCAGCAAAGTACAGTACAGTACTGTAGTAGTATAGAAATCCATAAAGAAACTGCAGGATAAAACAAAAATCTATTAGAACATACAGTACAGTTAAAAAAGGTTTAATCTTACCAGTTCTTTCCCTTTCCTACTGCCATAATTAGTAAAAAACCGGAACCCATCTTTCCCATAGCCTTTCAGGAGCACCATGCGAGCTGACGGCTTTCCACACCTGTAAAAAAGTGAGTTAATAATACAAAGAACTGGACAGCATGGTGAACCATTTTATTGAATATACGTTTCCCTAAAAAGATTCTGATAAAGTAGCTGACCAATTTGGCATGTGGTCCTAAACATTTTATCAGCTGAAAGATCATGAAGCTATTTCTTGCACCCCTGAACAATAAGCACAGCAAAAGAACGAGGAAAATTCATTAGAATATTCTTTATTAAAAAAATCAGGCATAAATGCTTGAGAGTTCCTATGAAAGATGTAGTAATAAAAAAAAAAAAAAAAAAAATCACAAAGAAAATAGGATTGATCTTAAACTCATTTTATTTTACCTAATGGCCACCCAAACTACTGGTGGCTATGATAAAGGAAGGATGCCAGTGGCCTGTGTAGTATCCCTCCCTTGTTCTTGACAGTCTTGTCTACAGCTATTTTGAAGAGCTTCCACAGCGTGAGCTGGTAGACTGATCCTAGTTACATAATTAGAGGTATATTTATGCTAAAATTAGAGCCTGGTTACAGCTTGCCAAATTAAATTAAGGCAAAATATTTTTTGTCTGCCAACTCAATGGTGCTTCGGGCCTCTATGCACAAGACTCCAAAATGGTTAATGTGTTTTGCTGCATCCTGGAATGGTTGCATCAGTTTCTGCCACATTCTGATGACACACTGCCATACTAGCCCATTTTTTTCTCTCAGATTGATCGCCATGGGTCCAAAGACCATTTCAAAGGAGGAAAAGGCTAACATCCTTGCTCTGTTGGGTAAAAAGTTCCCCTGAGTTAAATCTATGATGAGGCACAGCAACAATTATAATGTTCATCCACCCTAAGGCCTTGGAACACAAAGAACCCTGTAATTTGCAGCTGGGGTTTAATCTAAGGGTCATGAAGCCCCACAGCCACTACACAATCTTTGGAAAAATAAACACTTTTATGTTTAATTCTGTGTTTTAATGTACAAATGTTGTTGTGCAAGGGCTGTCTTATGGTACACCAGGGCAAAAATTTATTTCAAATGAAATTTCAAATGAAGGCTTTAACTTCTTTACGTTCTCCAGGTAATTAGTACAGTATCCCAATGCACAGTCTCACAATAAGCTCACTGAATTGCACAGGATGATGCTAAATTGATCCTTTTGACTGTTCTACATGTAATCTTTTATTCATATATCACATACAAGTACAGTTTGTACAGTATATCTCATTTTAATGACATATTCTAATACTTTCGACTATTGCTATAACTAATGCAATGGCATGTCACCACCTTCTAATTCACCCAAGAAAGCCTTTGCTTCTTCTCTCCTTAAGGCAGCAGTTATAATTGAGAAGGACAGGCTCATGCTAAGATTAGTCCTGACTAATAAGGTCAGTTCCCCAGGATCTAGACCAATGTCTTTGTGCACATTGAAAAGCAACTGGTTATAAGGCTTTATTTCTAAGGTTAAGTTGCCACAATAATTATTGTCTTATTTTTTTTCTCCATGGAGTTATGGGATAGCAAATCAAATATTTGTTTTTGATAATCATCTATCAAGGAGGTAAACACATTTTACTTACTTTGTGGCTGTAGCTATACACATGGCATTTGCTTCTATGATGCCTGGAGTGTGACAAGCTTCATCAAACCAGGAAGCAAACTGTGCAATCGGCTCTTTAGCCACCAGGTCATCCTCGGTAAATGCCTCATTTTTCCCCTTATATGGCTTACGCATCCCTGAAAATGTGAGATTAGAGTATTTTTTAATAAACTATGAGAAACCGGTGAATTTACCAATCTTCACAGCACTTGATATACTGTACAAGTACATGGATGGATGATTTTTCAACAATAATATAAATAAAAAAAATTTAATCTGTAACATCCTCTCTCCCATTAGGAACTAGCTACTGCAGAGCCATCAAAATAATAGCATTTGTGAACATTCTTGCTGTGATGCAACCATTATTCAGTTCAAAGACCATTAATGATACACTATATGACAAATCTTTTGATCTCAGTGGCAATCATCTTTAGTGACCAAAGTGACCACCAGGAAGAAAATGATTTCTACTGAAAATTACCCAAAATGATTTTTTGTAAAATGGTAATGCATCTCTTCTCTAATAAGAAGTTGACAAGATAAATTGGATACATAAAACCTGACCTAACAAACCCATAGGTTGGGTATGTCAGGTCAGGTTCTATGCATTGTCATTTCCATTTTTGTGTTTAATATCATGATATTAGTGTGTAGAAAACATTTCAACCAATTCGGACAATTCCTTCTGGTGGTCACCCTCTTCTACACCTTTACCGATTAAGATAAGTGTTTTACATACCGGGGAGGGAGGGAGGGAGTCATATTCGTATAAAATACACTATAAAAAACTATTTTACACAGTAATTTCCAAGCATGGCAACTACGGAATATTTACCATTATTTTCTTTGGCTTATCGAACCTACATACAATCACCTAGACAAAGACAATATTGTATGGCATTGGATGTTGGTTGGCAGTGCCACCTGCATCCCTTGATTGAAGCCAAAAGAAATCATAACATTTTTATCACACAAAATGTATTACTCATACCTTTTTGTTACAAATAAAAAATACACTAAATACACCAAAAATATGTTCCTTAATATTGTTGATTTCATGAAGAAAGCAAGCTTTTATATGATCAAGTGTCCTACAGGAAATATTTAAATCAGGCACTCCAAGCGTATAACCCATTTATGTTCAATGAAGGCAATGGATATTTTGCTGTGGCCGGCTTCCAACTAACACTATTTTACCGTGAGTGTGTTCTGATTGGCTAAGCGTCCATTACCGGCAAACAACGCGAGAACTATATTTGACCATGACTCTGGCGGCATTTAGCATTTATTTAGCCGTGAGTCGATCGTTGGGTAGCTGTAAATACATCTAACCATATTTCTGTTGTGGATGGGAACTTATCTTTATGAAAGAGGCAACTTTTACGAGAACTGAACCAACCAAAGAAACCTACCTAACCTTGTCGAACTTCCTAGCAGGGGAGCAGACCCCCCCATCATATTAAGCAGAAAGTACTTAACCAATCAGAGAGGACACACGGTAAAATAGGGGTCCGACTAATTACCCAAATGTACACAAATGTAGCCGCAATGAAGTCAAATAATGGTCCTACATGAATAAATCAGGTTACCAATCACTTCTCGACTAGTATTTGGTGTCACAAAGTAAAAAAAATTTGGAAAACGTAATTTAATTTGAGTTAATAGATCGAGTGCATGTACCTAACCTAACCTCGACTAGTATTTGGTGTCACAAAGTAAAAAAAAATTGGAAAACGTAATTTAATCTGAGTTAATAGATCAAGTGCATGTACAAAATCTAACCTAACCTAACACAACACAACTCAGATTAAATTAAGTTTACCAATTTTTTGTGACTTTATGACACCAAATACTAGTCGAGAAGTGATTAGCAGTCCGATTTATTCATGTAGGACCATTATTTGACTTCATTGCGGCTACATTTGGGTAATTAGTCGGACCGGTAAAATAGTGTTAGTAGGAACTTCTCCAGTCACGGCAAAATACTCACTATGTCCAACGAATAGTCAAGACAACATAGTGTACTAATCCCTTCACTGTGGGGGCACCAATTTTATTATTCCATCATAAATGACCACAATACAGTGCAGGTAGGTGAGTAAAGCAATTGGTCTTGGTTATTACCTAAAACACTTAATTTTGGCCTTAGATGTTTGTTTAAAGTGTAGAGCACAAGCCTACACATTTCCAAGGCAATGTCATCAACCATAACTATTGATACAACCCAGACATGAGATGGTCCATCTATCATGACGGGCGGCCAATAGTAGACTTTAATTACCAACCTCCAATATCAATAGACATGTCCTTGACGTCTTCTTGTCTTCCCCCAGTCACAACGTTCTCCTTGAAAAGAGCCATTCTTCCTCTAATTACAACATGTCTAAAATGAGGACGAAAGAGCCAGAGCTGCACAATCATACTAGGAACGCATATGTGCTGAGCCAACTAGCCGCTGCTTTATGTTGTGACGTCATATGTATCTTCTTTACAAATTCAATGGAAAGCTACGGTGTTAATTGAAGCCATTCTGTACGAAAGCATAGATCCGTACGCTTAGATCTTTATCTACATGTGATACATAGGCTAACTACAGTAATAATGGTAATGACTAGGACGAGCAAATTTGTGACCAAATCCCAGATTGCTGAGCTAACTATTACTATTGACAACACAACATACTGTACATACTTATATGGTTTCTCACTCGATTTAATTTGTAATTTTTGTACTTATTTATGGTTATTTTTATTATTACCTTTTTATTAGTTTTTATTAATTATCATTACTATTATATTATTATTATTATTATTATATCCCCCCCGGCCCTGGTGTGGGGGGGGGACCTGTGCCCGGGTGAGATAATCCAAGTAAAAAAAAAAAAAAGTTGGTGCCACTAATTGTTACTCGTTAGCTGCTTGGGCGGTCGGTCACGTTTCTGTTACACACTGTAGGCAAGTACTGGGCATGTATTGGCTCCTGAATGTATCTGTACCTGCGCAAGTCTGGAGTCTCTGGACTTGAATGAGCTCACACTCGGTGCCATCACACACTCGCAGATTGTTCCAAGGGTTTACAATACTTACTCCGAAAAAGTTTGCCCTGACAGTTTTCCGAACTTGCGGCATCAACCTTGAGCTGGGACCCCAAGTGAGGCGAGCATTCGCCAGCACCAGGTCCTCTGAGATTTTTATAAACTTCAATTAATTTACCCCTCGCCCGACTTTTAACGCGACCACCGAGACTTCCTCTAGGAGAGACCAATATTATATATAAGTCCCATACATATAAATGGGTCTATTAAATAAGAATATATTTTTTTCGAGCTGTTTTTGCCAATCATACAAGGTTTTGTATCTCTATGGGGACTCAGTTTTTAATTTCATTCATCCATCCCAGTCTCTGCCTTCCCTTGGCCATCCTACCCCCAACCTTGTTCATCAATATTTATTATTATCCTCTCATCCCTAATTATATGACCAAAGTATCTTATTTTTCTTTTTCTGTACATTTCAAGCAATTCTCTTTAAGTTTTGGCTAACCTTAGCATTCGCCTATAACACGACACTTCAAAGGTCTCCGATGGTCTCTTAACTGCGGTGTCTGCTGAAAGTGTCCACGCATCTGACCCAGACAATAGCCCTTTGCGATAAAAAGCCTTTCAGCAGCCTTTTTCTCTAATTGAAGTTTATATCCCTTTTCATTAGGTCTTTTAGATTGTCAAATGCTGTTTTTGAGTGACCTATTCTTATGACTTATTTCGCAGATCTACAGTACCATAACAGCTGATGTTACCTCACAAATACACAAAATTTCCATAATTGTTAGTTTGATCTTTATTTCGTTTTCGTTCCTTACCTCCACTCTTTCCTTATATTTTCTGCCCATCTCTCTTTTACTTCTGCCTCAAACAGGATTTTGCTTTTAATCTTTTTTCTTTTTACTTTTACCCCTCTGTTTAATCTTTATTTACATTTTCCTACTGTTATGCCTTTTATTATCATCTATCTCCTTGTATTTCCTTCCTATAGACAAAAGAACGAATTGGAGACGAATGAAGCCGTCTTAAATAACGGCACTTCCTTGAGTGGAGGGAAAAGGCGAAATATATTTTGGTTATCAACAGTATTGGTATAATCAACATTAACATGACTAGTACTGGTATAACCCAACATTAACATGACTAGTACTGGTATAACCCAACATTAACATGACTAGTACTGGTATAACCCAACATTAACATGACTAGTACTGGTATAACACAACATTAACATGACTAGTACTGGTATAACCCAACATTAACATGACTAGTACTGGTATAACCCAACATTAACATGACTAGTACTGGTATAACCCAACATTAACATGACAAGTACAGTACTAGTCATGCAGATGTTGAGTTATACCAGTACTAGTAGTACTGGTATAACTCAACATTTGTACTACAGATACTAGGCAAGACAGTACAGATACAAAAGACTCTACATTTTTAAAACTACTGAAGCACGAAGGGGATTATCAACACACACACACCAGCTCCACTTGACATTTGAGACGGGCCGAGTCGACGGTGAGATTCCCAGCCTTGACGTGAGGTTTTTTTTTTCCCTCGTCCTCCGGCCACCAACAGCTGTGTTACTGCCACGCTCCTAACAGGTGACCCAGATAGATCAAGATACCGATTGCTGTTCTCTCTTCTTGATTCATTCAGCTCCGACCACGAGGATGGGAGAGTGTGAGTTGGGTATTGGGGGAGATGGGAAGGAGAGGAGAGGATGGTGTGGGGAGATGGGAAGGAGAGGGGAGGATGGTGTGGGGACTGGAGGGGAAAGGAGAGGGAGGTGGGTGGTGTGGGGAGATGGGAAGAGAGGAAAGGGTGGTGTGGGGAGATGAGAGGGGGGTGGATGGTGTGGGGAGATGGGAAGGAGAGGGGTGGATGGTGTGGGAAGATGGGAAGGAGAGGAGAGGGTGGTGTGGGGAGATGGGAAGGAGAGGGGTGGATGGTGTGGGGAGATGGGAAGGAGAGGAGAGGGATGGTGTGGGGAGATGGGAAGGGGAGGGGAGGTTAAGGTGAGGAGATGGGGAGCTGGTAAGAGGGCGATCTATCTCCTGTAGTTTATAAGTGGTTTCTAACAGATGAGAGAGAGATATTGGCCATCACAAAATACCACTACATCTTTTTGTCAACATTTTTAGCTTACTGAAAAAAAAAGTTACCTCTACCCTAGGCCTATATCTTCTGCCCTGGTAATGTCAATTCTCAATTTTTAATGAGCCTAAAATGGTGTCAAATCTGCACTGAGACTTTACTTGATATGTTTTCTAATTCCCAGTGATGTGATAAAAAATATATGTAAGGCTTCCAGGCCAACAGGTAGGAGCGGGGACTTTCCACCACCACCACCACTACCACCACAGAGACCAGACACCATCACCACCACACAGACCAGACACCATCACCACCACACGGACCAGCCACCACCACCACAGACCAGACACCATCACCACCACACGGACCAGCCACCACCACCACAGAGACCAGACACCATCACCACCACACGGACCAGCCACCACCACCACAGAGACCAGACACCATCACCACCACACGGACCAGCCACCACCACACAGACCAGACACCATCACCACCACACGGACCAACCACCACCATCACCACCACACGGACCAACCACCACCATCACCACCATAGTCGCCTGGGTGTTGACATAATCCCCGGTACTGTAGTGTCATATGTCACAGGGTTAGGGAGTCATGAACTCTTCGAACCTTTAATTTTATCCCTGACGAAGTGAACCTAAATGAACCCTTACGAGAAAATGAACCTTTAAGTAGTGGATTTAAATGAACCCTTATAAGAAATTAAACCCTCCTACTTGTTTAACCTTTTTATTAGAATATTGAACCAGTACGTGAAAGTGAACCCCTTGCGAGAATGCGAACCTTCGCACGAACCGCTCATCTTTACACCGGGTTCATTAAGCCACAAACATTTCTAGGAGGAGGTAAAAAGAAGCAAAACAGCTGTGTGGTGTTGTTGACTTGGCCAGGTCCAGGTGAGGCTCTGATATTTACGTCTGGCAGTGATCTGATGACACTGTGTGATCAAGAGAAGTTATCGTACATATGATGCCTGGCAATCAACTACAAATTAATATTATCAAATTTTCTTCTTGCGATTAAAAAGTGAAAGTGGGTCCCAAAGGCAGTTTAGACACACTACACCGTATGCTTAAGCATTCGGTACACAAGGAAGCAGTATGACCGGCACTGTACTCTACCGCCTTAATTTCCTCAACTGTAACGTAAGCATTTATTTATAGTTGGATAGGCTGTATTTTGTAATTTTTATTTACATGTATTCTAGTGTCTTTACAGAAGAGAAGTGTTAGCATACATCTTCAAAGTTATATGGAGTCTTCCGTTACTAGCTAGTCAATGGGACAAGGTAATGGCCTGGCAGCAACAGCCTTTGACTGGTTTTGGTGTAATGGATGTCTGGCAGAGAAGTCCCAACCTGCACGAGGGAGAAGGTTTGGTAAGCTAAGGCCTGGCAGCCAAGTATCATGGTGCAGCTGTTGATAAAGAGGAACAGAGATTGTCGTACACCTGCACAAGAGAGGTAACAGTCTCCATACAACAGATATCTGGCACTGAAGCATCAGCTGTATGTACGAGATAAAGCGTGTCGTACAGTGAGGCTGTGGAAGTGACGTACCCGGGTAGGTGAGAGGGAGGGGTTGTCGTACAGCGGGCGTCAAGACCTGCTCCCTAGGGTCAGGTTTCACTATCACTAGAGAAAGGCTCTACCGTCCGCTTTCACTCTTATCTGACGTGTGTGTGTGTTTATGTATGCGGGTATGTGTGTGTGTGTGTGTTTGAGAAGAACTTTGTATGCATGCATGTACGTATTTATTTATACTCATTTTACATACACACATACATACATACATACATCCATACGTACATCTTTTCGTGCTCGTTTTTTTATGACTAAATATATTGACCCCATAAGGAGACTTTAAACCCACGTCTGTATATCAGCATACATACAACAACTACTAAAACAGACCATGCCGCTTTGGTAACTCTTATAATCATTATTTCAGACATAATTCATACATATAGTTGTTTAATACACAAGAAGGGTTACCAAACAGTAGTAGTTGACGGAGGAAGAGTTGAGGAGTAAACAACACAAATGAGCCTCTAACATCTGCAACATCACACTTGAGCCTCTAACATCTGCAACATCACACTTGAGCCTCTTAACATTTGCAACATCACACTTGAGCCTCTAACATCTGCAACATCACATTTGAGCCTCTTAACATCTGCAACATCACGCTTGAGCCTCTAACATCTGCAACATCACACTTGAGCCTCTAACATCTGCAACATCACACTTGAGCCTCTAACATCTGCAACATCACATTTGAGCCTCTAACATCTGCAACATCACATTTGAGCCTCTTAACATCTGCAACATCACGCTTGAGCCTCTAACATCTGCAACATCACACTTGAGCCTCTAACATCTGCAACATCACACTTGAGCCTCTAACATCTGCAACAACTGCCTCTAACATCTGCAACATCACACTTGAGCCTCTAACATCTGCAACATCACATTTGAGCCTCTAACATCTGC